CGGTGAACTATTTCCTTACAAACAAAAATATTGAAACAAACTGCGTAATTTTAGTCCACAAGCGAACTATACCGACCGAGCGACCGCAGTGCCAACTGTTTCCTTCCTGAAAACCCTCCACATTTAAAAAAAACTGTAATAAAAGACGTCTCCTTTTTCTCTGATGTCAGGGGCCATGGTCTAGCAATTATCCCCAGTTTTCATAGCAGTATTTCTAAATCCAATTCGGTTTCGTTCAAAATATTTGCCTACCTCGATACTTCATGTTACGCGTGGAGTGGGAGAGATGTTACAGTCTCAAAGAGACAACTCAGTAGGGTAATGTGTAGTGTGAGAATAATACGTGACTATAAAGAAAACAGTCTTCTGGGCGCCGTGTAGATATTGTGTTAACCGACGTTTCGGAGGAATGTATAACCTCATCTTCATGGTAGAAGAAAAAAGAGCACCTGTTGACGCTGGTTCGCTCGCGGATTTCTTCTTTTTCTTCTACCCTGAAGATGGAGGCGATACGTTCCTCCGAAACGTCTGTTAACACAATATCTCCATGGCGCCACATCCAAGAAAACTGTTTTCTTCAAACATATGTTTTATCAGAAGTAGACATTTCACATTATTCCTTGTCCTGCAATGGACTCCTTACACTGTTTTAGGACTTCATAACAATCTCCACGTGCTTTCCTCCTGTTGTACATCGCCTCTGTCATGCATCCATTCCTCTGTCTACCTACTTACTTATGTTTCCTTCAATGACGATTTAAACAGCTCAAATGACAGTCAAATTATAAGTTGATTAATAAAAAGTAAATTGGAAGGAATGTGGAACGAAGTGGTTGTGATTTATCTTAATGTGAAATCCCTGCATTTGTCTGAAGGACCTAGAAAAACCATAAATACTCTCAAGAGAGCCGTCTCCTAGCCGACATTTGAACCCAAGGCTCCCGAATACGAAGCAGGTGTGTTAATCATTCATCCGCGAATTTCAGTTTTGTTTATCTCTTTAATATTGCTCTTAATTTTGTATCTGTATCTCCTATTCTTCTCTCGATCTCTTTTATTTTCCTTGATATTTACACCTAATTCTTTCTTTTCTTTTGTGTTGCTCAGTTGTGCCGTGCTCAGTTTCTGCTGCAGGGGTTAAAATGGTGGGTTGTTCAGGAAATGCTGACTTATGCATTGTGAAGAAATTTTATGCCCTTGGCTGAAGTTGTTGTCATTGGGCCAGTACTTTGCCAAATATAGGACAAGTGCCAGGAAACATAGCGACTATGTTTTTCAGCTGACAAGGTACTGTGAAGTTAAAGGGCGCTCCGCAGGATGAAACACGTGCGTAAATAGAAATTTATCGGTTTTCCTTCGCTTACCGCGGACACACAGCCTATTGCAAAACACCAAAATGTGTGGTATTATTCCGTACTTTTGTCACTGCAGTAAAGCTATTAAAGCAACGTGTATGTGCTGCTGTAGGACCTATAGAGGCAATTCTAATCTTCATTTTCAATGTTTTATAGCCTAATTTCCTTATTTTAAAAAGTAAAATTAAATTTATGAAGCTACCTTGCTCTGGGTGTGTGTGTGTGTCTATGTATTTCCTTTCCTAACAACTTTTGAACGCATGAATTTATCGTCATGAAACTTGGTACATATCATGCTACCTGAACAATCTCAACGACATATTTCATAAATGCTACCCATCTTTAATACCAACATTGAATTTCTAAAATTTTTTAAGTAATATCCTTAATATTACTTGAATGCCTAAGCCTCTCATTGTGAAATTAGTTATGTATATCATGCTACATGGGGCCATCTCAACGCGTATTTCATAATTCCCTCCCATGTGCATTAACAAGGCTAGAGCCCCTCAAATTTCAGACAATGGCCTTAATATTATTCGATTATCTGAAATCATCATTATGAAATTTGCGCACACAAAATAAAGCTTTTTTCTGTCTGTAAAAAATAATCTGTTGTAGTTTAAGGAAAGTGAGTGAATTAGTTGTTCCCATAACTTCTTGTTAATTATGCATGTTTATTGTAATTTCTTAATTTGAGCTTTGTTCCTCCTTTATACACATTCTGGGCAAAGATCAAGCACTTATCTTTGTAACATTCATAATTATGAAGGAAACTGTAAAGTGAATGTACTCGCCTAGTTTGTGTTAGTCTACGTTTTGTCTTCAGATGTTCTCTTTCATGATCCAAGAAACACATAGCTAGTCCACATTAGGATTTGGAACATGATTATAGCACATGAGGCCAATGCCCAGTTCGTGTTGTGTCGTAACAGAAGATGACACCGTACGATTTTAATCACAAAAAAATATAACCCATGGCACTTCCGTTTCCGGCATTGCAGTTTAATCTGGCAGGCAGTGCAACAAGGTAATCTTGGTGTATGGGGAATTTGGGTCTAATTAACCTTGTCGAAGTTTCTGAACTCAGAAATTGGTGACACCTTGAAGTAACTCTACTTCCGACAGCGTCATTACAATCCACAGACATACGAGGCCGTAGGTAATTTTGGGATGGCTGTAAAATAACCGTTTACAGGTTAGAGGTAATCAGGTGTACCACTTTTTAATGCTAATTCTCAAGACGTTTGCCCACATAAATTATTATGAAATTCTGTTTACTGAACAAAAATTTATCGTCACCTTAAACACTCTTAACCAGCTGAATTTTGTATTGCATACACGAATTTTTCTTGGAGGTAGGAACCATGGGAGAATATCATGAGCCTTCCTCTGTTTTAAGCAAATATTGAAATGGTTCCTAAACTCCAAGTTACTACTGCGTGTTTTCCATGCAGCCTCCGACTTAAATTAATCTAAATTAATTTTTATTGCTGTGAAAATCACTAAATTATTTAGTCGACATTGATTCAGAAACTCAAAATTCCAGAGCATCTGCCTCAAGTCACTGCTTCTAACCGTCCTAAAGTCTTCACTTTTACACTAATCTTATCAGAACCGTCTAACCAAAGGGTGCTATTCCCCCCTCTCCACAATAAAGTGGCTCTAAATTTTCCCACGACTCTTCGCTTTCACCTACTCTTCTACTGTATTCTCTACCTCTCATCCTCTCTCTGACATAAAATTCCTTCATGAAATTGTTCCTCAGATTTCCGGTTAAATGCCTACGAATTAGCACTTGTACATGTTTACCGGTACCGCAACTCTTCTTTGATTGATTGATTGATCAGTAACTCTTCGGTAGTGAGCAAAATATTTCAAGTTTAATCTGGTGATGTTTCACATTCAACATAATATAACATAAAATAACATATCATAACATAACATAACACGACGCAAAACAACATAACATAACATAACATAACGTAGCGTAACGTAACAACATGACATAACATTAAACAACACAATCGAACTCGTCGAAGTATTCTATTTGGTTAAATTATGATTTAGATTGCTTTCCTCTTATACAGATTTCAAATGTTGTGACTGATATGTCTAAGGTCATGCTTATGAACTGGTGCTGAGGATACTAATGGATCTGGCCTCCTCTAGGACTACTGCCTTATCGTGGAGAAGAGATGTGCGTGCCCCAATAACCCGGAGAGCTATGTTGACGGGATCGTAAGCTCCCGGTAGAGCCACCCATGCCACAAGGGTTAAACAGTAGGGGCCAGATTAAGTGTAGTGCCTAGTCCTCCAGGATGGGTTTTGGGCGTGGGGCTACGAACTCAACCTGGAAAAATTTTGCTGTTACAGATCAGTGGTGGAGACCAATACTAACAGAGAATTTTAACGCCAGTAAAGAAAAAGAACAATGGATAAGGACAAAAATATGTCATAACTCTTGGACGTTCTCATATATTTGGGACTAGTGGTTCGGAAGCAAACATTTCCCTTGACCTCTTTAACATTTAGTAGAAAATTATTCTGTGGCCAAATAATTCAAAACTCAGACCCTTAACTTTGTAAATGTAAAAAAAAAGTGTACAGATTTAATTATTAATAATAATTTAAAGTAAAGCGCGAAGAAAACTTATTTACTTAATTTACAGCCCCTTACTTCAAGGAAACGTGCTCACTGGACGGTCTTCCACGGCTAGCTGAAGGGTCTCAAGAAGACTTCCGGTCCCCAAGTTGTTGCAGTACTTGTTCTTCCAAAAAAATACGTGAACAGTTGCTGCCATGCAGTACAGACCCACAGTCCCCCACGTAAATATTAGCTCTCAGTTTACAAAAAAAAAAAAATAAAAAGAATATTCCTCCGAAGCAGCTGCGTCCCTGTATTCGATTTTTTCCTCGGTCTCTATATTCATGTTCTGGAATAAAACCATGAAATAAAGAAAGAAGACAGACTATTTGCTTTAAATATTTAAACAATCTGCAGCAACGTCCATTTAAACTTAGGGCAGCTGCACCCTTCGGCCAAAACCCTAAATACTCACTTGTAAGTATGGATCAGGTCAGGGAGATGAAAAATGTAGAATGTGAAACAAACAAAAATACGAAGAACATACGAGAAAAAATGAGAGGAGAAGGGAAATGAAAGGAAGGAAAAGAAAGGGAAGAAAATATTGGAAAAAAAGTAGGAAGGGAGGCTAAAGGAACAGGTGATGAGGACAAGAAGAAACGAAGAGGAAAGAGAAGACGTAAAGAGGAAAAGAGAGACAGGAGAAGAGAAGGAAAATGGAAGGGTAGTTAAAAGAATGGATGAGGGAGGGAAAATAATCGGAAGAAAATATATTTGGAGAAAGAGGCAAGGAAAGAAAATCTCTGTTCTTTAATGTCGCCTCTGTATCGGTGAGCTGGACGTGAAAGGGGTAAACACAGAATGCCCTCTCTGTGTCAGGAGACAGTATTCAGACCTAGGAAGAGTGAAAGTCCAGGTGAGACCTTGCCGAATGGCGCTCAGAGACAACCCTGCTGCAGTCTGGTATGGACCTTGCTCTGAACGCTACACATATATCCTCCTCCTGCCCTTCCCCCCTCCCATGTGCCCCATATAAAACAAGGTGTTTGTGGCAGAAACCAGCCCAGTTGAACAAATATACGTTGTGGAGGAGACTGGCCCATATTTTGAGATAACAGTGCCATTTCGGAGCTTCAAACAATGGCGGTTCTTAGATTGGTATGTAGTGCTCTTGAAGAAACAATATAAATCAATTGAATTTGGTGAATATTAAATCCCAGTTTTATACGTGTCCTCTACCTTTTTGTGGTTATTAATTAAGAATGTGTTTATAAATTGACTTCTTCAGCGCACTCCAGTGGTGATATTGTGAAGCTTATGAAAGCAATATGGCGACATCTTAGACTTTGATAACACACAATATACTGACAGTGGGTTGATGTAGTTTCAGAGATTTTAAATGGTCTTGCCTCGAGATTTTTTCGCTCTGGAGTAAGACAGTAAATTGGTAGACAGTTATAATAGCGTGTAAAATGTAATCGCATTTATTCAAATCAATTTAATATCTTCAAATAATATAAGAAATTCAGGCATAAATATTATTGAAGTGACATGTACGTGGGATTTTGTTCATGGTTGTTTTGGAAAGTGTGTTGACATTGCTTCATAACGCTGAAATTAAATCTGTTTTGGTCTCGTTCTCACAGGCCTGTTACTCTAATTACATTTTGACAGTGAATCTAGATACTGTAATTTTACATGTTAGCAGGGGCTAAAGACTGCAACAACTTCTGATGTTCGACCATCCATTGAGACTTCAGTTTCCTTTTTTCGTACAATTATTAAATCAAGAACTATATAAAACACTATATCATTTAATTTTGTTATATCATAACAGAAATATTTCTATAATTTTTCGAATAGTTGTGTAACTCGTTGACCGCCTCTGTGGTCTACTGGTCAGAGTTTCTGGCTATACACCTAGAGGTTCCGGGTTCGATTTTCAGCTCTACCATATTTTCTGAGAAGTAGTGTGTCTGGAACGGGGCCCGCTCAGCCTCGTGAGGATAACTGAGGAGCTACTTGAATGGAAAAGTAGCGGCTCTCGTCTAGAAAACCGAAATTAATGGCCGTGGGGATTCGTTGCACTGATCACGCGACACCCTCTATTCGCTAAAGTTAGCACTAACTTCGCCGAAAAGCGGCAGTCGTTCGGTCGGTATAGTTCGCTAGCAGACGAAAGACACGAAATTTGATTTTGTGTAACTCTGTTTTGAATTTTGTTATAAATATTTTGTTTTATTTTTACTCTTTTTTTATGTGACAGAAAAAGTAATAAGAATGATTAGTGAATAATAATAATAATAATAATAATAATAATAATAATACTTTATCGATTATTCAACATTCGCCATCCATATAAAAGTATCTTAAGATACGTAGACTCATAAGTATCAATGCTTGTAATAATAGGTATGTCAAGAGTCACATTTGTACGTCAGCATGCCCGTTGTTTTCGGTACTGTTTCTGTTAATATCCTTACAAGGTTCCTACATGGAGAAGAATCCTTCTTGAGGAGCCAATAATCGTTCAGATGATCACATTCCTCACTATTGCAGATCCTTAAAGTTCATTAGCATGATTACTTGTACTAGAACATGCTTTTGGTTTCTGTAATTGCTACAATTAGCCAGTCCATATCCTAGCATTACTTTCCTTTAAGATCCATGTTAATACCATCTCTAATTTACGCCTAAGTACTCAGTTAACATCTTCCTTTCCGGCGGGGCATGCGGTACCGTACTTGGTTGAGGCACTATGCTAGAAGCCAGAGGGCCGCGGGTTCGAATCCCGATGAGGTTACTGGATTTTGTCAGTTAACCATATTCTTCCGGTCGCACTATGACCCTGGGGTCGACTCAGCCTCTAACAGAAATGAGTGCCAGGAATCTTCCTGAGGTTAAAGGACGGCCGTCGTGTAAGGCTGAACTCACCACCATCTGTGAGCTGATTGTCTAGAAAATGTGGGAACCTCTTCGTCTCACAACCCTACGGGCCTCCACGGCCTGTTACAGCGATAACTTTGATAACTTTACCTTACCTCTTCCCTTCCGTGTTTCTACAACACAGAGTTATCATTCAGAAACCAAACTAACCAATTCTATAGGGCCGAGTTCTTATTGAGAGGCTGACAGTTGCTCAGCTAGTCATTGACTTCCAGAATTCTGTAGAAATTGAAGTTTCATTGTTGCATTAAGAACAGTTCGCCATTTGTCTCTATTCTGAGCCAGTGGAAGCCGGTCCATTTCCAATCAAATTTAGTATTATCCTCCAACATACATCTAGGTTTTCCTGGTGGTCTCTTTCATTCTGGGTTTCCAACCAAAATTCTGTATGCATTCCTCTTCTCCCCTAATGTTTACTACCTGCCCCGCTCTCACTCTTTCACTTGATCATTGTAATAATTTTTGGCGAAGAGTACAAATTATGAGACCCCCATTAATGCCATTTTCTCCAGCGTCCCATTATTTCATCCCTCTCTGGTCCAAATATTCCCCTCAGCACCGTCAGTCTATGTTGTTCCCTTAATGTTAGAGGCCATGTTTCACACCTACGCAAAACCTGAAGGAAAATAGTAGTGCCCTTCAATTAGAATCCCAGCCATAAAAATTAATATGTGGTTGCTAGGAGATCGATAAAATGTGAAATATTTCGGATCTTACCTTGAAATACGCCATTGCCGTTTCTTCACGTATTCCTTCTAGTTCAGTGTTCGGACATTTTCTCGCCTGTTCAACGTTACATAACTCGTGCAGCTGAGACAATACTGTTGCTTGGCACAAGGGCAAACAGACTGTAACAAATATATGATTTCATAAATAGCATGAAGTTCTTGGAAGAAACAATCACCTACTTTCCTTGATACGACACGGACAGCAAAGAAGACGACGCATCAAACAAATCTATTGTTGGGCTTGTATTCATTGCCATCGTAACTTCTTTACCGAGCTGTTGCCTAGCATCGCTAGCGGAAAGCACGTAGACACACAGACCGATGCGAGGAATGTAGGAAGTACGCGGTAGATTTGGACTCACGTGCCATGTTATGCACACGAAGTTTCACTAAAACTGATTCAGGCATTAAAAAGTTAAAGGGGGTAAAACACAGACACACAGACGGGATGGTGATCTCATAAGCATACTTTTATTTTTTTCAAAATAAATAAAGTAAGGTAAAACGGAGGATTTTCCGTCACGCAAACAAATGATTTTACGTATTCCTCAAAAACTCCGGATGGTGGTCTGTCTCGGACGAAACATGTTTTGAATTAATAAAAATATTTTTTTGGGCATTGGTAAACCACCTCCCATATTATTATTTTTAAACATCGCGTAATGGATGCAACTCTCGTGGTCGAGTGGGTAGAACCCTATGTCCTACTGTGGGTACCCTGGTTCAGATTTCGATTCGCAGACCGGCTATTCAGGTCGAAATTTTCCATGGCTTTTATCAGCATTCCGGGAAAATGCCGGAATAAACGTAAAAAGTAAAAGCTATCCCTGTAACAGGACGTGGAGGCACATACGGTTGTAAGATGTTGAGGATCCCACATTTTCTTTAGACAATAGGCTCACAGATGGCAGTAGGTTTGTCAGCTTTACGCGCCGGCCGCTCCTTACGCCTTAGGAATATTCTTGGTACTCATTTATGTTAGAGTCTGAGTCGACCCCAGGGCCATAGTGCGGCTAGCAGTATTGAGTAAACCGAAAAAAGAACCTAATGACTTCGTCGGGATTCGAAACCGCAACCATCAGGCTTGTAGCATAGTGCCTCAACCAACTACGTTACCTCGTGCCCCCGAATGCCGGAATGCTACTTCAGACCGCCTCATTTCATACAATTTCAATTCATTTTTCGCCAGTTACTTCATCAGCCAACTCTGCAAAATCTGGTCTGAGGTATTGATAGCGTCATTATGTAAACCATAAATAAATACATAAATCGGGAGTAATTACTTATCCAGTTAATTATAGAAATATATGATCTTCGGAACCAACAATTAATTTAAAAGATAAACTCCGTGGTTTTAGTCCGCAAGCGAACTGTACCGACCGAGCGACTGCCGCTAGTCGGCGAAGTTAGTGCCAACTTTAGCGGATTGAGGATGTCGTGTTGTCAGCCCAACGAATCCCCAAGGCCTTTAATAATATCAATGTTTAGACCGGAGCCGCTGTTTCCTTGAAAGAGCTCCTCAATTATCCTCACGAGGCTGAGTGGACTCCTTTCCAGACACACTACTTCTCAGAAAGTCTGGTAGCCCCGGGAATCGAACCCGGACCTCTGGATCTGTAGCCAGGAACTTTGACCACTAGACCCCAGAGGCCGTCACAGTTAATTCAAAACATCAAAAATTAATTTGAGAGGAATTTACCTCTCGACTTCTCTTATGCTGAGGGACTAAATGAGTCATGACGAAAGGAGTACAACAATTTATGAAACTTGTTACGCTGTGATTCGCACATTACCTGAGACAACAAAGACACACACACGAAGAGATCCATTGTTTTTCATTCCCTGTTTGTCACAATTTTGTCGTGTCTACACTATAATTATTTTAGCTACATGACACAAGAGGTGAAAGTAAGAATGAGGCGATACATTTACTTACGTTATGGGAAAGTACTGGGAGACCACAAAATTGCTATCCGCCCAAGTTGCATTACAGGCAATCCGTACAGTATAGAATATTTTGTCTTTCATTTCAACTAGCAGTCACGAATGAACTGATTATAGTTGTTTGATTGAATAAGATAGATCTTGATTCCTGGAACCTAACAGATGCACACAGAGCAACACTTATGCCCCCACCACTTCTCAGTTTACGTACCTTTATGTTGTTTCATCTAACGACGCATTACATACCTTACATTGTATGCCCTAAATTGACGGAATGATAAATGAGAAAATGAATTTGAAAGACCGGATCTCAGGTAAAAAAGTAAAGGTTACATTTATTGACAACTTACAAGTCGTAACTACAGATAACTATAACACTATTGCTATCTGCATAATTCACACTTCACTACAGCACACAGTCTAGTGATCTCAGTCTGTTACTAGACGTTTCCTGGTAACGGCTCCAGCACTGGTTATTCCTCTGTCTTCGGCTCAAGTCCTGTCTTCACACACTCCCCTACAGAACTGAGTGAAATAAGTTCTGAACTTGTCCTGTTTATAACCTCTCGGCAAGGACCACATAGAAAACACAACTCTTCCATCATCATAGCCTAACTGTTGCATTATCAAGAGTCTGCTGCCTAGAAATGGCCGTTGTTCCGTTGTTTGTTTTGCGGGAACATGTTTACTGAGCCGTTGCCCAGTAACAGTCATGGTGTGTACGCCCATCTCGCTGTCGTTGCATAGCAACTGCTTTACTCACTACAATATTTTGACGGTATGGATTCGAAACCCTTTCTAGGAAATTATGTCCCGAATTGTGTGTTATGCAGTGAGTATATTACCTGATGTGCGTTTAATATACGATTTTTAGGAAGTTAGTATTCTCTGTCTTTTTGTTCCCGGTTGCCATTCTGACAAACATTTGAACATCAATATTATGTGTTTTTAATCAAATTGTCCTGGGTTTGATCTCTACCTTTGCTACTAACATCAAAGATTAAAATACAAAACTTCTGTCAGTACTTTAATCAGTTACCAAAAGGACGAGAGTTGACGTTGCTTGATTAGGACTTCGTCTTCAGAAGGTCCAGGTTCGAATCTCAATCACGAAACCTGCTATCTTGATAGAGGGAGTTCCAAACCCTTCTATGCAAATTCAGATATAAGACCTCAAATTTTGCCACGAAATATTCCTTTCACATTCTCTCAAATGAAATACTCACTAATCATCGTGTTATTCAATGATATTGGCCTAATAACTGAGGTATTGGAAGGATCACGAAATAGATTACGAACAAATTTACTTGAACACCGAAAAGAACCAGCTTTCGTGTGCATAATCGCGGTCAACAACTACTCTTGTTAAAGATTTATATAAAATCTTGTTGTGTTACTTTGGGTTGATAGGGACTTGCTGTAGGCTGATGCGGCTTCTGAAGTGGTTACACTGAGTGAATGAAACATCCATTTCCATATAATAATTTCAGAATCACTGAATGGGGTTGGGTAGCAGTAACGTTCCTGTCTCGTATTTAGCAGGAGCTCAGTTCAAATTTCGGTCGAGACAACGGCTTAGGTTTTCAGTGGACTTCCTCAGTACCTCCAAGAAAATGCCAGAATATTACCTCAATTAGAGCATAACAGTTTCTTTAAACATCATCATCAGTAATCTGTCATACGACAGGTCCACAGTCTCTTTCAAAACAATTCCTCCACTTAATGCGATCTAGAGCTTTCTCCTTCAAATGACAGTATCCTCTTCTGTCCCCAAGGTCATCCAGCATCTTCTTACGTCTTCTTCCTCGTCTTCTTGTCCCTTCTATCCGCCCCTCTATCTTTCCTTCAAGAACTTCTTTTAGAAGGCAGTTTCTGCGTAAAACATCACCAGTCCAATTAGCTTTCCGTTTTCTTATTTCATGTTTCTTTAAACATCCTTTATAATTCATCACTCATCTCTTATGTTACCTTTAAGTTGTAAAATAACCTGCAAAACCATTCTGAGTTGAAGCAAAGTGTAGAAACTAAATTTTGAGATTTGATGAGGAATTTTATACGATACGCAGTTGATTAATTCCTTGGATCATATTCTTTGCCTTAATATGCATTTAATTTGCGTTCAGTTCACACGTTAAGTGTTCACAGGTCTTGTATGAACTTCCCTTGGCTGTCTCCTACCGAGAACTGAACTGAATTGAACTGCTGGTGTTATTCTCGTTATACAGTCTCCGCACGGGCCACGCACAGAAAACACAGTTCTATTGTTGCATAAGGAAGAGCACACAGAGAACAAGTCACGTGATTCCTAGCCAATCCCTTCATTGGTACGTTGTTGCCTTACAGCACACAATAATATTCCTCTACTGAGACACATCTTCCATTGTTGTCTTGTGTACGTATATCAGGTCGCGGGGTGTTTACCGGTCCGTTAGCGGTCCGTTAAATAGCAACGCTCTGGCCCTCCATGTTAAAAAACGTTACGCATATGCATACAAAAATACATACACACAATCATAGGCAAATAGGTTTGATTCTAAAAACCAATTTTCGTATTCAGAAGAGCTGAAAAAATCAAAATAAAAAATCTCGACTTCGGTTCCTTCACGATCACAAAACTTTCTCCTACTACTTGTACGGAAAAGCCAAAGTCGCGATAAAACGCATTACGTCTTCATCACAAAGACTTATAGGTTAATGTTGTTTAGGGAAATAATCCTTGTTTATTCTGATAATTACACGAAACATACGAATATAATCACTGGGCAAAATACATAGCTTTTCTACGTTAAAGCACGTTGCACAATATTAACCGTATGTTTTGAATGTTTAATCGGTAATTATATTGCAGACCGCAATTGAAATGTGGGCTTGGGTATCAACATGCATGTTAACGGTGCAGTAGACAGACGATGCGTATGTAACGGTTCCAGCTCAGCTACTCCACCTTGACGGAGCCGTTGAAAGTGGAAGTAGTCTAACAGCTTGGCCGCAGTTACATTTATTGTGACGAAATAAGAGAGTCTGTGTTATAGCCTTGCTCCCCAACCTTGACAGGCTATTTAAAGCAAATGCTTAGTTCAGATAATTCTAAGTTGTATTCATGTAAATGGCGTTAGAATGGGGAGGCGTACATAAAGAGGAGGAACATATTGTCACGTGTGCGGGGTACGCGTGACTGATATTGTGAGTTCTGCATTTGACTCATTGAATTTATAAGGTGTCTCTCTTACAATTTCACTTAATTACAGAAGTTCACACATTTGACTTCTTCTGGATAACGAATCTCTCACTGTTTTCTGGATCTTGCACTAGCCTCTAGTCTTCTCTTCTTTATCCTTCTTTGTTGTTCTGTCGTATTCTGCCCTCTTTTATTCAGTCCTCTCCCTGAAGTAGGTTCTGGTCGAACGCATGAAGATCACCTCCTTGGAGGATTCTCTTTTTGCGCCCCCGATGCAACTTCTCGTTTCTGTGTCCGTTGCCTAGGAGACGTCTCTGTTGTTGTGATTACTGAGACCTTCGCCACTAAGTAACCGAAGTTCTGTTGTTGACCCCGCTACACGGGGTTTTCTGATTCTATATCTTAATGCTTTGAGCAACCCGTTACAATATCTTCTGGGACTGTAAACTGTATGATGACCAAAGGAAAAAAATGATGAACATTTTCTCTGAGAACAGCAAAAAGGAATACTCAAGTCAGTTAGAGAACTCTTAAGCCTACAGGAAAAAATATTTGTGGAAGACGTCTGTTACTTCATAAACAAAATTCCTAAATTTATTAAAAAGAAAAAAAGAAGTCAATGTACAAAATATTAATATTAATACTCTCAGAGTTAAAATATTTACTAAAAATCGCGGGGAGACCACTATAATATAATCAGATGTTTATAAAAATTTACTACTGAGGGCAGGATGGGCATTGTCTATGCTTTATACTCATATATATATAAATTTTTTATTTTCAAAATAAAATATATAAGTTGGTCTTTGTTATGGTGCATACGTACAGTCAGCACTCTTCACAAATGAAAACCCCGGGTGCGCACAACTACGTATTGAAACCACGTCAATACAGAAACATATTCTTAGAACAATAATTCTTGGAAGTTTACTCGGTTTGGCCTATTTTCAATGGAAACAAAATAATTTTAATGCTAATTTTAGCCAAAATCCCTTATTTTGAAAAAGGAGAGTAAACATGTGAGAACACTTTGCTATTTGTCTGTGTATCTGTGTGTATGTCTGTCCGTGTGTCTGCGTATCCGTCTGTGTCTGTCCATCTACCTGCGTATCCTTCTGTGTCCATCTGTCTGTGTATTCCCCTAATTTTTAGGCTAATGAGGCTTACGAGACCACCTTGTTCTCCGGCTGTGTATCCTCCCTAATTTTAGTTAGGAGACTCATGTTATCATTTTGCTGTCTGTGTGTGTGTTCCATTCAATTTCTTTCGTTTTCCATGTGGAAAGTAGACAATAAGTTCTTCCAAAAACATCTTGTTATTTCATCATTTTGAAAACCATACGACTTGGGTAAAAGCTTAAGGAATGTAGGCCTATTTCAGTTTTAACTGCAACTTATGTTAAAAACATTTTGGCCTCCTATAAATACTTATCGATTTAAGTTAGAGATGCGCCCAGAAATGTACAGCCTTCATGTAAGTCTTTATAATTGATTTCCGCTTTTAAACAAAACTGGAATGAATCAACAAGTTTTAGTAAAACTACACAATATGAAATTTCACAAATATCTTTTCAGTTGTTCTCGAATTGATACATTAGGACTGAAGCTAGACATGTCGAAAATAAAAGGTACATTTTTGCACTTATTCACAGTAAAAGAAACATAAATAATATTTAAAGTATATTCATAATTTTGTAACATACTGAGCTATCCACGTACCTTAAGGGATTTCACATGACGGACTGGAAAGTTATTATGTTCAGCAACAACAACTCAAATAATCTAAGAGTTCAGTATCTTATAGTTCAAAAAATATTCTGACATTCACCGTATCTTTCATTAAAAGAAATCACTTACATTACAATGTCGAAGGGTGTTCTTTTTGAGGGATAAAACGTGGTGATACCTCAGAGTCTATCGACACTTCACACCGTGTTTACCGCATTTCTTTTCCGTGCTTTGTTTACTCGTCGACCATCAAGATAGAGAGAGTACGCTCCTCTGAAACGTCGGCAAACTTCGATCAGACTGCACGGTGTCATATCCCAGTAGATACCATTCTTCATATTCTCAACCATGAAAACCTCTAATCTAATATTACAGTCCCGTTTGAGGCAACATTACTAAAAACATCCCGTTAAACCTGTAGTCTGTTTCAATTACAAAGCAGGCTTCCCACCGAGACAGCCCGGGTTCGATCCAGGGTCAGATCAAGTGGAATTTGTGTTTTACAAAGTGGTGCTAGGGGCAGGTTTTCTCCGAGTACTTCGATTTCCCTGCCAATTCTCATTCCACTAGCCGGTATATATTCATTAACCACCCTGCTACGTGGTCTGATAATAAAGTTAGGGAACTCATCGCGGTACCGCTACATACCTCATTACTGAATGTGGTTGCCTTCAAAGTGCTCCCCTGAGGAAGCTATGCACCGACCCCAGCGTCTAGTCCACCCTTCAAAACAATTTTCGAACTGGTTTTGGGGAATGACCTTCTGAGGTGCTCTCGTATTACTCCTGATGCTATCAGTGTCAACCAAACGCCTTCCTTTCAATATTTTCTTTATCTTTGGGAGCAGAAAAATGTCACTGGGGGCTAGATCCCGTGAATACTGAGGGTGTTCCAGCACAGTTATTTCTTTACTAGCTAAATTCTCCCTCACAGACAGTGCTCTAATTCAAGCTCCGACATCCTCGTGACTGCACACCAAAACATACTCCGACAATAACAGACGCCACTCAGAAAGGGACTGCCATAGATCAACAACAACACAGCTGTGAAACTGTGATATGCCAACTCAAACTATACTGAAGTTTCTATCCACTGCTGTCACGGCAAGCTCAAGGTGGCGAGTTCGCGAACTTTATTGTCAAATATCGAATTATAGCTATACAGGTCCGATTCTGACAGAGGTGTTAAGGAACTAGCTTAAAAAAAAACATTGAATGCATTATAAACGAACTTCTAGCAGTTTTGAGACCAAAATATATAATCTTGCTTGGTTTTGGTTCATTTTACTACAGTATTTCTTTGCACAATTTGCGAAAATTGCACGTGGTAAACTTGAAAGGATGTGCGAGAAAGTGTTCGTAGCCTTAATGCTATTAGTCCGTTCAGTAAAATGCTCTGAGGAAAACTGTGAAAGACTCGGTAGGGAGAGACGGTCTCCGGGTCGAGATTCAAACCCGAGCTCTTTCGAGTGTCAAACAGGAATACTAACTATTCCACTGCGACGTTTCGTGTTCTAACTTCGTGACGGAACATGATGATGATGATGATGACGATTAATTAACTAACACTGCGGTAAAAGGACCCGGAGGTTCAATGCCGATAATATTAAAACCCACCATAATTCTGAGTCAGTTCAATTCACCTTCCATCATTACAACTTGAATCTTAATGTTAAACTCCCATATAATTTTGGTCTTTCAAGTGGGCGTTTTTTTAAAGTTTTGTCGACCAAAATCTTGTACAAATTCCCTTTCATCCTCGATGCTCAGTCCATTGTAAATTTCCATATTTTTCCATCCTGTCAATACTGGGTGAACTGTCGTTGCGAGTAAATGCAACGGAGTCTTCTCAGGTAGTCAGCGAAGTTAGGGGGGGGGGAGGTTGGATATGTAACGGTTCGGAAACTCTCGCTATCTCAGTTTTAAGGGATGATGTCGATCCATCCCATCTTAAAAGGCAGAGAATGTTAAAGAACCCACCATTGCAATAAGTCGCCTTTGTACGTAGATCACAGACGAGTTCCTTCTTTTCTGTGACCACTGACGACATTCATGAAGAATGCAGAGAATTTGTGGGAAAATGTGAATAAATGAAGACTGCTATCTGGCGGATACTGCTGATACTAATTGTAATCTATAAACTTTAATTCTTCACCCACAGATGGCAGTTCTGGCAGTCGTGATATCGGCCACTCTGGCTCAGCAGTACAGTGGCGGAAGCAATTATGTTGACTCCGACTACGAGTATGAAGCTCCATCACAATCAGGTCCAGCTTCAAGGCCACCCTCGAGGTCCTTTTCGCGCCCCGCACCCTCACCCATACGACAAAGTGGCCCGCCCCCCCCTCGAGCTACTCCAGTTCCTATTCTGAAGCAAATCAACAGGTAAGTTCTCCGTCGTGCTTGAATGGCCAACTGTATAAATGTGAGGATCCCATTACAACAAAATGAAAACGCAAAATCAGCAGCTTGTTCAATGCATAGGAAGGCTGTCGGTGAAAAATATTTGTGTGTGTGTGGGGGGGGGGATGAGCCGGTGAAGCGACTGTCTGCTGTCTGGACTGCTTGGTTCAATTCCAGACAGTGATATGACATTGACGTGTGCTGTGTGGACGTCCAAGCCTCCATAGAATGATTATCTTGGACTTTTTATCTTTGTTGGTAAGACAACCGGAACGTGTAACTAGCCAATCACATATATCTAGTAAGAATGAGTGCAGCTTGCCTTCAGTCCTCCATGCGAGTGCATCGTGTGGTGCTTGAAAAGAGAGAAAATTTTACTTTAATGTTCTTCTCTTCGCGCTTGGTGATTTCGCGTTTTCGTTGGTTTTCTTTTCTCGTGCTTTCTAACCGTGCATTATTCCACACACTAGGTCGTCGACTTACGCCCAACTTCCGTTCTGACTGACAGGTCGTAAGTCGATCTGGTCGTATGTCGGCCATATATTTATTAACAGTATTTTTTAATCTTTCTAATCTTTTTATCATCTTTATAACTTATTTTTAAAAACTTGTACACTTTAATCATCTTTTATTTTTCATTTTTTTTGTGGTCGTAAGTGCGGCCGGTCGTAAGTCGCATAGGTCGTAACTCGATGACCACTTTCTTCTCATCTGCTGATTAACTCCCTGGAAACAGGAATGGAAGACAAATTGGGTAACTCATAAACTCGTTCCGCCCATCTCTCATCTTCTCAAGCTGTCTTCCTTAGATTCATCTTAATATTATCCTCCTCTCTCTTTCCGGTTATTATGATTTACCACTTTCTCAGAAGTTTCTACATTCCTTGTCTTTTATAGCTACACGCCTATCTCACCTTAGCCTTTATTTTATTATTCTAATGAGGAGCTTCATAAATCGTACTCTTCTCCAAGTATCATTAGAATGATCAAGTCAAGGAGGATGAGGTGGACGGGGCATATAGCACGAATGGTGGCGAGGAGGAATGCATATAGGATATTGGTGGGAAAGCCATAAGGAAAGAGACCACTGGGAAGACCAATGCGTAGGTGGGTGGATAATATTAAAATAGATCCTAGAGAGATAGGATGGGATGGTATTGATTGGATAGATCTGGCTCAGGATAGGGACCAGTGGAGGGCTCTTGTGGACACGGTAATGAACCTTCGGGTTCCATAAAATGCTGGGAAATTCTGCAGAATTGGTGGCTCCTCAAGAATTGCTCAGTTCCATGAACAAAACAACTGACCTCTAGGCCTATAAATGTCAAAGCTCCATGTTACCAAACAAATTTAACGATTCAATAAATTCGTGCCTCTCAGATCCAGATGTTTCCTTTACCTACAGAAGAAATTACGTCACCGAGGCGCTTTTTCTTGACACAGCATTTGTTCAGTTTCTTTTGTACGGAAATTTCCAAGAAACATTTGCAGCCATTTCAAGTTGTATCGACATTAGCTGCATATAGGGCACGCCATCTATTGTGGACAAGTAGATTAAAAAGAAAAGAATACCTCGGCTGTAGCCTTGACGTGAGGTCTGACCTCGAGGCTTTGTCCTTTCACTGTTCAGAAAAATTTGTAGCAGTACCCAACGTGGCGACTTCTCGATGTCTCTTACTTCAGTATCACAAGAGGCACAAGTTCCAGTGAAGAAGCAAAACACGTTAAAAGTGAAAGAATATCCCTTAAACTAGAAAAATAGAGTACACACGAGCTATGATTCAAAATTGATGTTCTAACACGTCACAAGATTTAACGGTCATCATTCCACTTCGTGTCAGAGGCGTATGAATCCAGTACCGTAGATGCGGAGGAGGCGACAATGTCAACGAACAAAAGTAGATTCCAGTAGATACATTACAAATTAAGATTACGGCTTTCTGGGATATGGCGACATTCCTTTCGGTAGATAGATAGCAGCGTTTCGATGCATACCCTGAAGACAGCGTATCAAGGTTCCACAAAACGCTGGCAATTATCCACCGTATACATTCCAGTCGACCATAATATTCACCACTGTGAGAACCTCGGAAGACCGCCTCTGTGCTATAGATCCAGAGGTCCTGGGTTCAATTTCCGGCGCTACCAGATTTTCTGAGATGTAGTGGGTCTGGAACGGGATCCACTCAGTCTCGTAAGGATAACTGAAGAGCTATTTCAAGGAAACAGCGGCTCCCGTCTAGAAAACTGAGATTAACGGCCGTGGCGATTCGTTGCGCTGACCACGTGACACCCTCTATCCTCTACAGTTGGCACTAACTTCGCCGACAAGCGGCGGTCTCTCGGTCGGTATAGTTCGCTTGCGGACTGCAGGTAACGGAGTTTGTTTGTTTTTGTTTTTGAGAAACTCGGATCTCCTTGTAATGAAACTTTTGGTTCCTTGGAAGCATATAGACCTATCTGTTGACCAGCTGAGCAAATATATAGATTTCTTAAGAAAGGACTCGAACCACGTAATTTGACACAAGAGAATTTTCATAGAGATATTTAACACTAGAATTATCGCATAACATATGGAAGTAGACAAGATTTTAAAACTGGATTTATTATTTTTACGACCTCGTCAAATTTAGAAAGGATGTACTCAGTATCTTAAAAGACCAGACTACCAAATGCGTTTTCGCAGAATTAACATTGAGCTTGCATAAAAATCGCAGTAATGAAATGCAAATTAGAGTCTTCTACATGAACTTTCAATAAAATCTGCGGAGAAATTCATGGTACGTGTCTTAGAAGAGAAATTTATCGATAATTTTGAATAAAAGTGTCCCATGAAGAATGCCGCCTTCTGGGATGTGGGGCCGTGCAGAGATTTTATTAACCGACTTTTCGGAGGAACGTATCGCCTCCATCTTCAAAGCATAATAAATCCACTAGCGATGAAAATGAGAAGAATCATAATTAAAATCTTATTTAATACCCAGAATAATTATTCGAAGCTTCAGCATTTACTGATTAAGCAATCTGGCCTGTTACATTTCAGAATTGCTTTCTGATTCTATGCAAATTTCAGACATTTGGTAGGACTCAGTGAGTAGGGTATCTGCCCATTTAAAAACCTCTAAATACACAGGATAACACAAATGCAGAAAAGTTATATATAACCAAGTTTCGTGTGGGATCTGAACCCACGAATTTAATGTTCAAACGGTGGAAGATAGCAGGTGTTTGATCATGATTCTTTGCAATAATTTATATGAACCTGTTACAACCTTGGCAGCTCATTCGAACAGTTCTCATGAGCGTCAATGCCAGGAGGAGGATTTCTGCTCTTGGGACTTACAGAGCTCAGAGGCTACATCCTGCTGAGCAGGGCGAGGTCTTGCACTTTCTCAGTCGCCGTAAGAATGATTCATTCAGTTTGACTTTAAGAAAACAAAGCTGCGGAACTTTTAATTAACGTCCGCGGTTTCAATCCTTGAAGCATGAAATTAATCTAAACAAAGGAGGAGTTGAGGTCCTAACAGCGGTGGTTATGAAGATTTCTGTCTTCTAGGATATAATTCTATGGTATCCGTTAAAATTCAACCTACGTTTCGGGAGAATATGTCGCCTATATTTTTAGGGTCAAAGAATAAGTTAAACTTATAGCAAGTTTGCTTCTTTGACCGACATCAAGTTGCTTCTAGCTGGTTTCTTGCTTCGCTTCCTCTTCGACCCTGATGATGGAGGTGACCTGTTCCTCCGAAACGCCTGCTGTCTCTCAACGGAATACACGGCGTTAACCCTTCTTAATATATATATACTATCTAAAATTTCAATTCCTGCCTCACAGTAAACATACTGCGAAACTATTACAAGGGTCATCCTAGGGAGAAATTCGTCTGTTATTATGAGAAACCTAAACAACACAGAAATGCATGGAATGGGTAAAATGCATATTCTTGGAAGTAAGAGTAGGCACTAGATACAGTTTCAGATGTTCGTTAAAGAGTTACGTCATTTCATATTCTGACATGTGTGAATCTGCAGTTCCTTGCCACAATTTATATAAATAGAAAGAATGAGAAGGCATGAAATGTCTTCTCCCACTCGAACACTGAGGTCGTGGTTTCGAATTCCACTTGAGGCATATATGTATATATGTGTTTTTCTGTGTCCGTGTTTTCCTATGTAGGTAGCGGCCTTACGGCGGGCTGATCCTTAGTCCAAGGAGTCCCACCGACTGTCCGTAAGATTCACAGTTTTCTGAAGAGGGACAGGGCAAGTGGCCTAATCCTTCGATGGAGGAGAAAGAAGTGTTACAAATATTTGAAGAACTTCGTGATTTTAGTCCGCAAGTGAACTATACCGACCGAGCGACCGCCACTTGTCGGCGAAATTTAGTGCCGACTTTTTACGGATAGAGGGTGTCGCCTGGTCAGGGCAACCAACCCCCACTGCCCTTAATTTCGGTTTTCTAGACCGGAGCCGCTATTTCCTTGAAGTAGCTCCTCAGTTATCATCACAGGCTGAGTGGACCCCGTTCCAGATCCACTACTTCTCAGAAAAAAATCTGGAGCGCCGGGAATCGAACCCGGGACCTCTGCATCTGTAGCCAGGAACGCTGACCACTAGACCACGGAGGCAAAAAAATTATGCTTAAGCCGTTCTTTTTATCAACAGTTCGTAATTATTCAGCTTATAAAAATGGCACCCGAATGAAGCTGTGAAATAAGTAACACGCCTCCTCATAATCGGAATGCCCCTGGTTCAGATCTCGATTTGGAGACAAGATATTGTCACTGAAGTCATTTCATCCTTTTCCTTAGTCCCTCCCGGTAAAACTGGGACAATATCTCAAACTATGCCACGACCGCTTCCTTTCACAGCCTCTCCAGTTCGCAGCTAGGGCTGTATAATGTGGCTATCGCAAATGTCGATTTATATTCCGTGAATAGGTTAAGAGGTCTCGATTATGAAACGAATGCGTTCAGTATCGACTCCACAAAACCAGTTTATGCTGTCTGTTCCGAGCTATTTGCCGTTAGCTTTATACGTAACAATACGTTCTGGGAAGAACTACTCGCCTAGTCTCTTTGATACAACACGGACCGCGCGGAACACTACATGTCCAATAATACCTTTATTTTGGGTGTGTATTCGTTGCTGCGGTGAAGTTCTTACAGGGCCGTTGCCTAGCAACAATAGATGGAATACATGTGCAGACACAGAGACTGATGCGAGGGATATACGAAGTAGGCCGCTGAGGCGCCAGGATATACATACAAAGTTTCTTAAAGTGCGGTTCAGGCATTCAAAAGACGATATGAGGGGATTCACAGAAACAGCAGCGTGGTCTCCCAAGCCTACATTAGTTCTGCAAAACAAGGACATTAGGCTACAAGGCATATTCAACATCTAATATCACTGGGGGGACTGTGCAGTTGCATATGAGGACAGCGAGCAGGAAAATGTGGTATATGTCTCTAATATTTGACCTTAATTTTGCTGTCGCCTGTCTAGTAAATGTATTAAGTATTATACTGAGCTGGTTAGCATTGCTGTTGCACGATTGATTCTCATTCTAGGAACACATGGCTTCCAGTTCGAATTCCGGTAGAGAAAGTGTATCCTGACTAAGGAAGCCTTGAAATAAACCACAGCAGCTGTCTCAACACGTAACGGCAGAATAGGATACAAAAGTAATTAAAGAGAATTGTTCCTGTTCCTAAGCACCATGTCATTGAGGTGTGTGGGGGAGTGGAGCCAAAGCTTCGTGAATACTTAATTTCGAGTTTAGATTCAAACACGTGGTCATAAAACGCGGCAACTGCTTAATCCTCGAAGAATGAACCCAATTGTGTACTGGGTTCATGGGCTATAAAACTGTTCTGAAGCCAGCGATGAAAATAAAAATAATCTCTCTCTGGAAATAGAATCCCTGATATCCTACCCCTAACCGTTTGTTTTACTCCCTCATGGAGCTGAGCCCTTCTTGATGAAGCTGCTAATTGTGCAGCCACTCAAGAACTTCCCAGAATTTTATGGAACCCGAAGGTTCATTAAAGTATTCACAAGAACCCTCCAGCTGTCCCTATCCTGAGCCAGATCAATCCAATCCATTTAATCCCATCCTATCTCTCTGAGATCCATTTAGTATTGTCCACCCCCCTTCCCCTTGGGCTTACCCAGTGGTCTCCTTCCTTCCGGTTTTCCCGCCAATATCCTGCATGACCCACCTAAAATGGTAATTTATTTTACCAAGACATTAATATACAAATCAACCTGAAAAATTGCAATACGCTGTACATAGTTTAAACTGGCTCATTTATCTCTACGTCACTGAAATATTCCAACTGTTGACAGATGTATACTTTTTCGGGTAATATTATGACGACATAGAAAGGTCACAGGATGAAAGATGTAATAGTTTAAATGTCGGACAGCAGAGTTGCTTTATGAGTATGGAAGCACGTGATCATTTTCAGGCGTTTGTAACGAAATATTTGTTGCACTTGGACCTAGTATTTTGCATAATAAATCGAACAGGACACACATCAGATTGGTCTCCTTCTCCCATTCTCCTGTTACCTCTGTCTTCTTAAACAAGAAACAAACTCCGTGGACTGTAGTCCGCAAGCGAACTATACCCACCGAGCGACCGCCGCTTGTCGGGGAAGTTAGTGCCAACTTTAGCGGATAAAGAGTGTCGCGTGGTAAGAGCAACGATTCGCCACGGCCGTTAATATCGGCTTTCTAGACCGGAGCCGATATTTCCTTTAAATACCTCCTCAGTTATCCTCACGAGGCTGAATGGACACCGTTCCAGACCCACTGCTTCTCAGAAAATCTGGTAGCGACCGGAATCGAACCCAGGACCTCAGGATCTGTAGCCAGGAACTCTGACCACTAGACCACAAAGGACTTATTTCCTCTTAGGTGCAAATATTATATCCTCTGTATCCTGCTTTCAAACAGTCGGAATCTGTGTTCCTCCCTTAGTGTGAGAGAGATCACTTTTCGCATCCATTAAGTATATAGGTACTGGAGTACAAGAGGCACTGAACTGAATTACAGCAGAATTCCTCAGAAGTGGGGACACGCAGTACCATAGTTCGTTGGGGCATCTCTACAGCCGGAAGTCGGTGGGTTCGATTCCCGATGAGCTCATTGTGTTTTTGATTTGATCTAATCCTTCCAGCCGCACTATGGCCCTGGGGTCGATTCAACCTCCAACAGAAGTGGGCACAGGAATCTTCCTTTGGTTTGAGGGCTGCCGGCACGTAAGGCTGAGAACCTCACCGCCATCTGTGAGCCGATGGCCTAGAAAAGTGGGAGCCTCCACTTTTCACAATCCTATGGACTTCCACGGCCTGTTACAGGGATTCCTCAGGCTTAATATATTCTTAACGAAGAATTCAATTTTGATTCACGTTCCCATATAACATTACTGAAACTTCGCAATTTTCTCGAAGGATTTGCTGTCTTTATGTTATGATTTTGTTCTGCATTCTGGTTACAGTTACAAACGGAACTGGAAATTAAACCGAAAGCGAAAGTGCTGGTTGGAACTTGACAGTTTATTCAGTTGAATTTACAGGCACAACGAGGACGGTTCATACACGTACGGCTACGAGGGGGCGGACGGCAGCTTCAAGATAGAGACCAAGTTGACAACTGGCGAGGTGATGGGCAAGTACGGCTACGTGGACGACCTGGGGAAGGTGCGCGTTGTGGAGTACGGAGCAAACAAATTCGGCTTCCAGCCCGCCGGTGAGGGCATAACCGTCGCGCCGCCCACCTTGGTGGATGAGACCAAACGTCCTCGTCAGGGTCCTGGTCCTGCCGTCGAATACGATGACGGAGAGTATTACGAGGAGGTTCCAGCTCGCTCCCAGGCACCTGTCAGATTCTCAGCCCCTCGCCCCGCACCCGTCTCTCGACCACAACACGCCTCGCGCCCCGCACCTCCCCCTCGACAGTCTGAAGAATCTTACAGTTATGATACTTACTCTGACCCTCCCCCCGCCCCAAGGCCTAGCCCACCGCGTCCCAGTAGCAGCAGCAGTAGCTTTGGGCCCGCACCCCCAAGGGCCCAGGTCCCAGGCGCAATCCCTGCAGGCGGTTCTAGTTCAGGAATTGTGTATTCTCAGCCTAGGCCTGCTCCCAAGCTTCAGGCCTTCACCCAGGCTTTCCCTGCTGCGCGTCCCGCCCCTCAGGCTCCAGTGTACCATGAGCAGCCCATAGCCCCGTCTCGCCCGCAAGCTAGACAGACGGGCGGACTCCTCGATCAGCTCGCCAAGGATTACGCACTCCCCCCTGGTGGACAGCCAGTGCATGACATCTCTTTTGGATTCTATTAGGTTGTGAGAACTCCCAACAGTGGCTGCTATCAGGCGCCGTCCAGCACTATACTGTGGTCACTGAAACGTTGTTTGGCTTGAGCACCTCCACATCTCCCTCAAGCTGTTTTGATTGATTTTGATTGCATCATACGCCAGTATATTCCCCTCCAGTCCTCAAGCCATTCTGTTCAGTGATAACTGAGAGCGACGGCATTAGCTGGCGGCAACGCTGTGGGCTGGTAGTCAGCAAGAAAAGGACAACATCGAGAGTCGTTTTCCCCCACTCTCTGTGGGACAAATTTCCGTGGCTTCAGTATAGTGACTGCTGATTCTTTGCAGAAACACTACTGAAATTAGCCATTAAACTTCGACACAAATCATCCCATCGCAAAGAAATGAAGTCAGGCTGAGCAGCAACATTCTTTTATATCATTGGTCACGATCTGACTGTAAAAAGCTCATATTTGTAAAGTGGGGGTTATTCCATTTCTGTGTATGCACTGATGTATATGTTTATGTGAAAGAGATATTCACATATTAGACTGTAAAACTGTTGACAACACATATTTTTGTAAGAAAGTCAACCTCTTACTGTGGAGGCAAAAGTTTCTTCTGTATTTATTATGTAGCTGTTGAATCAGTTGATGCAACTATCAGGCCAATTTAGTAATAAACCACAAGAAACTCTTTTTTTGATGTTAATAGACACTAACGGGGTTATCATAAATACTGAATGGCAATTGCTTAGGTTAGAACGCTTGAGAAGTTCAACAAGATCCTGCCATTTTGTGCCAAATTGAAAATTTGTCTGAAAGTTTTCACAAAATTTGTTATAATCTTCGTCATATCACGTTTCAAACGTTTTTAATAGGGTCAGGTTGACCAAAATTCCAATAGCTTGGCTCTGTACACAACAGTGGTAATAACCTGTACCAACTAATTTAATATTCAGTAATTCGTAGCTTTGCCTGCAGGCTCTACGTATGTATTTCATACGGCTCACAGAATAAACTGAGATTATTTCCCTACACATCTGTAACATCTAATGAATATTCACTTCTTTAGGTAGAAACCGGATTTTAAGTTCTGAGTGTAAGAGTTTCCAGATACAAGTAAAATTCAGACATTGAAGCAAAGCCATCTCTAGCCACAACCTAGTTAATTATCCATTTTCATTTCACTTTCAATAACCATTTCTGGCCCAAAATTTGCTATCCTAATACAGTACATTCTACAATTTTGAAAAGTTAAAAGCCAATTTTTACACAGTTCTAAATATTTCAGTAGTTTCTAGATAGATTTAGCAATTGCTGATATATATTTTTAGAAATTTTTCGTTAATTCGAGAATTTTTACGCTTAATTTTCGTGCATCATCCCTCCTTCAAAGAATGAAATGAGTGAATGAGATCACCATGCTGAGTGTGTACGAGTATGTGTCTCCAATTTGTCTGTGTGTGACCCTCATTTCGAATTTTGAAACACATGGATTGCCAGCATAATCTGGTATCGTCGCCATGTCAACAGAGATGATTTGTAAGTCATATTTATATAGCCCTACAATTGGTAACAACAACATGGCGGACGCACGCACTTGCGAGACTCGTGCGATACTAGTGCACTCAGGATAACTTCACGGCGCTGATTCCTCCATAAGAAGCCAACAGTCGCTGAGTCAATCGGGAAATCCCCAACATTTTATGGAACCTAAAGGTTCATTATCGTGTTCACAAAAGCCGGCTAGTAGTCTCTGAAGAATCTGGTCCATATCCGAATCGTGTTTCTCTAACATACATTTTAAAATCATCCTCATATTTCTTTTAAGTTTTTTAGTAGTCTCTTTCCTTCCGGTTTTCCCATCAAAATCCTGTATGCATTCATCTTGTCTCTAAAATGTACTAGATGCACTGCTCATATCATACTCCTTCACTGGCTCTTCTTGTTAAATTTGGGTAACATCTTTTGGTTAGGTCTTTCAAAATAATCCGTCAAACTCCAACGTCTTTGTTACATTTCGTAAACTTGACGATTGCTTACGGTGACAAGTTCTTAGTTCCACGCCCAAATCCAAAATCGAAGGAATTGAAGGCCCAATCATTGACAGCTGTCCGCGACTGCTTATTCAATATATTCACAGGTAGATTTCGTATGTGGAGGCCGTCTCCTCCATCCGCAACCTGAGGACTCCCGATGCAGTGGCGACAAGCGGCCCACATAATATGGCCCGCTTAATCTGAGCAATTTAAATTGTTTACGGTAAGTGATGGCCGAAAAATATAAAACTATTCGGAGGTAATTTTTCATACAGTGTAAGAGAACAAAATGCTGGCCGCATAAACTCCACGCTCAGCTTCGGCTTGATGTCTGTAAGTAGATACGTTAGAATCGGCACGGAAACAGAATGTGGACACACCCATAAATTACGTGTAAAGTATTTTCTACACAACCAACAAAGAGATATATGAACATGATGCGAAACTTAAGGTTCGGCCACACAGAGCGCTACGCTATGTTCGCTACGTACGCTATGTACGCTGTGTACACTCTGCGACGCAGCTAACATAGGGAACATAGCGTACGTAGCGTACGGAAGTCTGTGTGGCCAGTCACATTGGCAATAAAGGGAGATATTTTTCTGTTCGTATAGCGAACATAGCGTACGTAGCGTGCATCGCGTACGTAGCGCTCTATTTGGCCGAACCTTTGGAGATTGTGTCAGGCAAATTTCTCGTAAACATAGTCTGAACTTATGTAAGAAGTTCTTCCTAATAATTTAATTCAATTCAATTCTTTATTATTTATATGCCGAGTAATAGTGTTAAGGCCAATTACAGATAGAGTACAGTATAGATACAGGTAATTACATTATGGACAAACGCAACAAATCTCAAAGACTAATTACAGGCAAACATTGGAGGAAACAACACGTTAATACAGAAAGTAAACAAACAAACGAACACACGAAGATGAGTGGCGACAAGAACATGATAACTAACAACTACATAACACAGAACCTAAGAGTATGAAAAATATTATCAACAATGTTAAATTAATGAGTATAAATTTGATTGAGAGAAAAGGCTCCAATTGAAATTATGTCGAGTCTTTGCCCACCGCTTTGGCAGCACAGGCGCACCGAGCAGAAGGACAGTGTTTATTATAGGGACAAACACCAAGCAATAAGAAGTTCCTAATATTAACAATAATAATAATATGGACATAATTTATTTGAAAATAATAGGAACTTTATTCGACCAAATCTCGTGATCATTTACACAGGGTTATAGTGCGCAAGCCTATGATGTAAATTGAATTTCATTATTGAACTATTAACTTACATCGCCCGCTTACGGCTATAACAATACAAGTTATAAGACTAAAAGATAGTGCAATGGGAGACTTTATGAGTCTTCAGAAGCTGCTTGCTACAAAATTGTTGTAACCTGTAGTAAATATCTCAGAGAATTGAATCTCATAGCCCAAACAGAGGCCTAATTTCCATACAATTTTTAGGATTGTGTTTGGGAGAAAAAATGTCCATTCTCTTCTGGTAGATATTGCCATATTGTCAAATTGTTGACACAAGCCAAGGCTGATATTCTGTACTACAGAAAACTGTGCTTAATCATAATATAAAATGTACTAGGAGGACATATTTTTGTGTGTGAATTTTCTATTATAACTAATTTTGAGGAAATCGTCTCAATGACACGTGATATCAAGAGAATTCGTTGTATTCTTTGAAGCTACAACTACATTTTATCTTTTTATCCCGAAGTCAGATGTTTTCTTATAGGGTAAAACTACCCAATTTCCTGACATACCCTATTTCGAAAAACGACCCTCCAAACTCCCCATGAAAACAAGTAAGTGATCTACAGCTAGCCTTCACAGTTCTCCACAAAAGGCTCTGTTATAGCAATAAGCTATTTATGAAATCAGGTAAGTTTTCTGTATGTCACGTACTCATAAAAAATTCTGTCGCCATGAAGATCAAATTAGTATGTCACAGTTTCACTAATGTGTGATGATTCCAAATATATAACTAACCCAAATTCTGGGTTTTTATCGACTTTTGGGAGAGCGTACTGCCCTGTTTTCAAGGCACTCATCTTCGAAGATGGAGGTAAAACATCCTTTCGAAACGTCGGTAAATTTCTACCACATTTCACCGCATCCTATTCCAGAAGAGAATTATTTTCGTAGTTACCGCCATGAGAATTTCAGTTCTCACAATTCTACCGTAATTCTTATGATACTGACTCTGAATATTCTTACACATGCCAGTTTGTAGCCTTGTACCTTAAGGACATGAGTTCGGAATTTCGCAGTGGTCGCAATGCATCACATGTACCCATCAGAACATCGTGTTTATCGGCATTACCGTCAAGCGGACCGGAAATTAGCTCTGATTCATTTCGGTGTTTTTGAAAATTACTATATCAGTTAGGCCTACTGAATTTAATGGGCCTCGATGTTAGTCGCCGCACTTCAAAGTGCTCAGATTCCAGAAGAAGTGCAGCGGCTTTCCTTGAACATCTTGGAAGTGCTGAGTTGCTTACGTAACGACGCTTATATACCGAGATATTATAACATCGTTGGTAGGATCATTAATGAAGTGGAGTAATTGATAGAATGAGAATTGGCAGGGGCAAATTAAGTATTCGAAAAAACCCCGTCAATTGCCATGTTGTGTCCCACTATTTCAGGGATACTCAGGTTCTCCGAGCGGTATGCGGTTTCGAGGTGTGGAAGGATTAAACTGACAGACATCAGAACGGTTGCGTAGAACCGTATTTTATTACGAAAATCATGAGCGCTTTACAAAATATGCTGGCTATCCTTGTAAAAGGCCATGAAGGCCCACAAGCTTGTGAGACATCAAGGCCCCCATATTTTGTCCAGACAGTCGGCTCACAGATGGCGTGAGATAGTCAGCCTCACGCGCCTGTCACCCTTACGCGCCGGTCACCCTTCAGGCCGCAGGAAGATTTCTGGTACTCATTTCTGTTAGAGGCTGGGTCGACACTGGATCCATAGTGCGGCTGGAAGGCTTAGGTGAACTGAAAAAATCCACCTTATCAGGACTCGAACCTAACCAACTACACTACCGCGTGCCCCTGCACTTAACAATTCTTACTCAAGATGTGGTAGCCTCGACTCGCCGCAATGCTTCTCTGCCTTTCTCGCTTAAGAACTTCTGCTCTGGCATTCAGACCACATTCGAATTGTTCCACGTTCGCCAGCCATGGCCTAAAACAGTCGGGGTTCTACTCGCAGGTGGGGGAAAGAACCACACAGTAATTTGTTTAGTCCACACGAGGGCTGGCTGGACGCTGCGAGCCGGACTACAGCCTCGAAAGGATACTTATCATTAACTACAGAATACACATAGTTATAATACTTGCACAATTACAACAGCGCACCCCTTCCACATATGCAACAGGCACCTTGTCCACCACAAAACTCACATAACCTGATCTGAGATCGATCCTGGTCCGCTGCGATATGAAGCCGGCCACTAACCGCCTGAGCCGGCGTGGCGTCTCTGAAGAATTCGTCAGATAACTAGAAACGGCCTACTAGATGACAAAATAACTGATGAACTGGAAAGGGTTTTAGAGGAAAGCGGCGTTAGACAGGCTGAGATACTGTCCCGGCATTTTCCTGCATGGAGGGAGGAAACCACGAGAAACATTATTCGACATAGCCGGTGACCGACCCGGCTGTAATTCATACCGAACACCAACAGAATACAATTCTAGACAAGCCTGTTCTGTCGGCAAAGAGCAAGAGGAAAGGATAGCATTAATCTAGTTGTATTATGAGTCACTGCCTATCAAAAGGCAAGGTATCATAACCCCGAAGCCCACAGTCTTGGTTAGACCTCCTCAAACCTCATCAAGGATTCAAGTTCTTGTTCTATGGGACTTTATTACAAGAACAAGCACTACATTACAGCAAATAAGAGGGGGCACGCGGTAGCGTAAGTTGGTTGAGGTACTATGCCACAAGCCGGAAGGTCGAGGGA